ACCCTGCAGGAAAAGAAAGTATAACTACTATTTTGTCTATTAGTTACATAAAGCTTTAAAGAGGGAGGAGTGGGATTATGTTATGTGCATTCGCAAAAAAAAAAATTACAACCAACCATTCACTTAGGTTGTACCTCACTGACCAATACCAAGCATGTGGGACAGCATGTTCACTGTACATGAAGATAATCAAACAGGCTAAACTGGACCTGGTGTCTGGCATAGTAAGGTTTAATCTAGACGTAACTGGTTAGCAACAGGCTATAAACTTCTCTCTGCCACTCTTTGACCTCAATAAAGAGGACAACTAAGTGTATATACTAAACACAGGCACACACAAAGCAATGTGGGCACCAAAATCAAAGTAAAATGAACTGACATTACAACCTGTCCCAGCAGAAAAAGACAAGTTTGGGCAAAACGTATTCATTTGTTTTTTTAACTACCTCAGTCAGAGCACTTATCAAGCAGTTATTTGCTATAACAGCTACTCAGTTATATTTGCTGCTGAAACTTATAATGCGGCATCTTGTGAATTCTTTATGGTGATTTACTGCAAAAAAAGAAATAATTTTTCATATGTATAAAATATATTATTGATCTAATCTAGTTTCAGGAAAGCATAGATCAAGCTTTTCTTCACCACTGACAGTTTCTCACTTGCATTGTGGTCTGACTTACTGATTCTGACTGCATTCTAAATTACTATTATAAGGACAAGAACAAATCAGATTTTGTAAAAATGTGAAAAGGAATCAATCCTATTTATTCAAAAACAATATGTATCTCAGTAATGACTGCTGGCACTTGATGTAAAAATGATGGATGTTTTGATGTATTTAAAGATTGAAGGGAACTCAGATTTTATGTTTTCTAATTTATATATTTTTTTGATTGATTGATTTAGCACTAACTTGAATCAACTGAGGTCAAAACTGGCCAATCTCAGTTTTACTGGTGCATTTCTACATGCTATTGAACCTAATTGAACAATTTAGCATCCCCTGAAGTGTATTCAAATTAGACTGGTCACTTTGTCTTCAAAATCACTCAGCAAACATTTGATTCTACTTAATTATAAGCATTCAAATGTAGAGAACCACTCAATTTAAGTTAGTAATGGAGTAAAATTATAAAGATTTGGCCATTTTGAAAAAGAGCATGTAGTATCATGTTTTCCCTTCATGCATCTTCTATTTTTTCTGCAAATATTTACAGGTTAAGCAGCAGCATAAATCTGGCTAACAGCTGCCCAGTCACCTCTAAATCCAGGGAAACTAACAACTCAACAGCATTGTTTTCCAACAGAGTTATTCACAGAACCTGTGTGAATTTAAAGTGCTTTAGTCAGCAGTGGAGTTCACATCCTGAGCGACACATCCATGCTGACTCCACCGCTTTCTTTTTGTCCCATCTCTGCAGCCAGAGGAGCTAACAAGAGCTAGCTGCCCGGCTGGCGCGCTGAGTGGCGTAGAAAAAAGAAATCCCCATGCTTTCATTGTAGCAGGCGATGAGTCAAAACAGGGCCACTGCGCGTTCAAACGTACCCGAAACTAAACAAATGCAAAGCGAAAAGCGGGACAAGTGAGGTTACTGACGAATACCTTCACTGACCTTTGCAGACAGTCCGGGATCTGTGCAGCACAGCCGACTTTCCGTCGACCCGGAAGGAGTTGGCGGATCAGCGGCTCAGAGAAACATTGACGTGTTGGCACCGCGGTCAGTGACGGAGCACAGAAAAAAATATTTAAATAACTTGTGTATTTCAGTTCCTTATGATTTACGTGAAAATGTAATCATTTTGGATGTTATTACATTTATTGAACGATGCGGAAAACACGTTCAGAGGCCAAATTTGACGTAAATGTAAACTGTAAAATTAAAACTGCACTACATAGATATAAACAATTTTAAAGAAACTCCCCAATGAACGCATTAGTCAAAATACTCCAAGTCAAATATTGCATGCAGGTCATTTAAAAATGAATTGTACTGAAGGTGCACGTCCATATCTTTCCACAGTGTGTCGCTTTATTATAACCCAAAGTATGAAGGACATTTGTTCCTGGCGAGCCATCGTTTCACTTTTCATATTATGTGTATAAGAAGACAAAACAAATGTGAAAATTATCCTTAGGCTTAGTACAAATGACAATTTAATTTATTAAGGGGAAAAGAAGCTGAACAAACCAACCTGATAGCTCATGTTAAATATATTCCTAAAGCAGACTGGCAAAGTCTAGCAGAAGAGTCCAGACTTTGACTAGGCCACGCTGAGAAAGATTTTTTTGTTTGGTTTTTGAGGCATTGAGAAATTGGCCCGCTGTTGAGTTTCTTTCAGATCATTGTTCTGCTACATAAAACATCATGGTACTATCAATCTTGTCAGTTATCCACACCCTGTATCTTCATTCGGTTGTGATCAACTGTATGAAGATACAGCACTCCACAAGAAAAGGTAGAACCTCTGAGTTTAATTTTGTACTTATAGACAAACAAAATAAAAAATAAAAATCATAAAACAACAATCGCAAATTAGGTTAAACATTTTCAATTCCTTTATGATAGTTGCCAATAGTGGCACATGTTGAGACAACATGTTTCAATAGTGAGGTTCAGTGTCTCAAATATGACACATTTTAGAACCACAAATGGTTTGTTGCTAAACCGTACTATGGGACAAAACACATTTTTCAAAATGCCATACTGTATAAAGCACAAACTGAAACTAAATGCAAGGTTTCATTAATGCTTCTGATGTTTAAAATCTTTTTGTAAACAAAAATGTAATTTTTTCACTGTTTGAGGAGGTGTTTTTAGAAAACACATTTATTCTGAGTTTCAGGGAGATGACATCCCAATGATAGGATATTTTTTCAGTGTGTTGCAAAATTTTCTGTTCCTATAAATGAAATACTAAGTGGGTGGCATAATGATCAATGTGCTATGTTCTGAAATAATTTTCTTTCCTGTTTTGAAACTTCTTTGTCATTTCATTCACCGAACTGAAACAAACAAAAATAAGCCTTATTTATAAATAATTAAATTTTACAAAGGAGAACCAGTATGCCATTACCACTTTCTGCTCAGCAAGAATAAATTCGACCAGATGATCAACAGGTCACTCATCAAAGTTTCCACATTCGCATTCTTTGATTCGACATATTTTTTTTGTTTAACACCAGAGCGAGTGAGGTTAAACAAGAATAGTAGTTGTGTTGCAATCTGAAAGTCGTTAGTTCTTTCCAGTCACTATCTCAACCAACGTCAAGGAACACTGACCTGGATGTCTCAGATGTTTCCCTGCTTCAGCACACCCCATTTAGATGATTGCAATTCAGCAAAAGCCTGTTAATCAATTGAAATCATGTGCTGAATCAGGAAAATGCCAAATATATGCAGGGCAGTGTGCCTTTAGGAAAAGAGTTGAAAAACACTGATCCACTGCATGGTTTTCAAATAAGTATGACGATACAGTTGTCAAGAGGAAATGGGGCACCAGTTCATCAACCTGTTTTTTTTTTGTTTTGTTTTTTGGGGGCGGGTTGTAACGTAGATGTTTTTGTGTTTTTAGATGAAAATATATGAAACTTGTGCAACATAACTTCATCCTGCATTGTATCTTTGAGGTGGTGCTGAATTACAATCTTGAAGACCAAGTTCTGTGTCGTTCAATATGTAAATATTTCAAGAACTATCAGCTCTTGTTGGCTTGTGCTGAGTTTCTTTGCTTTAAGTTTTTTTTTAATTATTACCTTTAGGCATTGAAATTAAAATAAATACATACTCGTACAAAGAGTAATATAAATTTACCTTGATGGAAAATATAAAAATGAATAATTAAAAAAAACAGATACAAAATACAGATTAAAACGCAATGCATCACATAAACACAAAAACAAAATGTACAATTTCTGAAAAACTGCTTTTTGGATGCAACTTGGGTCAAACTAAATGTCTGCCGATTTTATGGTGCATTATTGAGTACTCTAAAACATCTTTGTATTTCACCAGGTCTATTAAGTTACATATATATGAGGTTAAACATTGTGGAGTGCAACTGTGAAAGAATAGTTTGTTTTATTTTGGAATTAATTCTCAAAGACTAATTTGGTTTTGTTCAAGTTTTTCTTTCATAGTCAGCATGTTTCATCCAGCTTGAACTATTTTCAGATTCACCATCTGTTCTCATATTTGAGAGTATTTATGGGTTTACTGTCATTTCCCTTTCTGTCGCCATTTTTGGACATCTGGCTGAAGAGTGAACTTCCCGCTTCTTTTCTCCCTCAGGTCACTTTTGTAAGTTTCCTTTCTCAGTTGCTTACACAAGACAACCAGCAAATTATTTTTTTTTCCAATTAAAATCCCTAAACATGTCAAACAAGTTGCATCACTCACAAGATAAGTGATACACATTTTTCAATTTAACATTTTCCTATGTCTGCATTTGTTTCCAGGGAACACTCTGCATGTGAAGATCTGTTCTCTTGATTAAACGTGTCGCAGGTTGGTTCCCTTCACTCTGACCAACTTTCTATCTTATGTTTTCAAAAAACAAATTCACAAGCTTCTTTGACATATACGAGTTCAAGTTTATTTGCATATACAGCAATGCAATTCAAAGTGCTTTCAAAGACCTTGAAACTGGGTTGATATGCTGCATTTTCCTGGTTTTGGTGAGAACGCAAGCAGCAGTGTTCTGAATCAGTGTTGAGTGCAAATGTGCACATGTGCATTTATTGGAGCTGGTTAGAGTGCATTTGTGTTTGTGTCGATTGTTGGATTGCCAATAAACAAAAAAGTATCTTGTTCAGACACAGATAACGTGTGTGCATGCATGAATATAAGAGTGAGAGAGAAAGAGAGGCAGTGAGAGATTTTTTTTTCCTCAAGAAAAGTCTTTGAAGTTGCAGAAAATTCCAGGAGTTTCCTGTTAACAAGCCTGGGCTTTAATGTGAACCAGGAGTGTGTCTGTGACTGAGAATCAGTCTCTTGGCTGGTGAGAGGAGTTAGGATCTCAGCAGTCTTTGCTGTCCTGTCCAGATTCCACATTTGATTCGCTTCATTTTTTTCAGAATGCAAAGTTTTGCAATGCTCAGAGGGGCTTTGAGATTCAGGATGCACAGTTTTGAAACTTATTAACTCAAGGTTTTTGTGAATTTTTTTATTATTTTTTTTGTATCATTTGTGCGACTGGGAGGTCCTTCCACTGTGTTTTGGATGCTGCTCTGTTTTCTGAGAGCGAGTGGTGGAGAAAGCAACATAAGAACTGCAGATTTTTTTTTATCCCAGATGACATTTTACAGCGGCGCTCTGACACATGATCAAACTCGGTTTCAGCCATATCAGTAAAGATGTTGCGTTTGTATACTTCACACCACCTTGTGTCGCTACTTGCTTTGTGGAGCCTCAGTTGCAAAGGTTTGATCACAGCCTGGCCAGGCATTCCTGGAAGTAAGCCAAAGGCTGATTTGGACCCAAATGTGAGAGACTGGGGAGATTACTCAGATCTCCCAGCTGGAATTGAACACGGACTTGGACTAGAAGAGGACAGAGAACATGAAGAAAACAGAGGAGTCAGGGAACCATCATCCAACTTGGCACCTGAGCTGGATTTCTTGGCTGACTTTGCAGGCAGGAGAAGTTAACTAATCAGCTGATGCATCTATTTGCCTACTCACTCTTTATTCAACTTCAATGTTCCCTCCAGGTAAGAAGCGGCTGTGGGTGATAACTGCTCCATCACATAATGATAACTACCTACGGATGATGGAAAAGCAGCTTGAAGACATGGAGCAGGTAATTTGCTGATGAATTCATAATACCAAGGTTTTCTGAATGTGTTTCAAGTAATGCTTCTGGTACTTGTGCAGTCTTGTAAAATTATCACGAATTAAATCCATCTGTGAGCTGAGACATAATAGACAGTGGTGTGGAAAGAGGCTTGATCTCTTACAGATTTCTTCTTTCTTGATGGACAAGAAAACATTCTTATATCATAAACTGAGTAAAAACTAAATGCAATATTCAAATGATGGGTTAAAGTGTTTAAAGAGGTAAAAGTAAATAAATAATAAAAGAAAAGCTGTATAAACTGAATGACCCCTTTTTAAATTCTGAATTAAGTTCGAAACTTTGTCTGTTTTCTTACAAACATGATACTAAGATGCTGTTCATTTCCTTGAGTTAGTTTTTCATAAAGGCCTGAAACATCTGCTCTAGTCCTCCAGCATTCCTCATTTCTTTACAACAGACTGCACATCTGCTGCTTTCAAAGACTAGAGAGAAAATAAGTGAAAACAAAGCAAAGCTGCAAGGGCATATTTTGACTTCAGAAATCCTCAAGAACTACTGATCAAAGCCACTTTAGAAATGAATTCTTTGAACGTAAAAGATAAGAGTGAATGGAAACCTTTCAAAAAGCTTTTGACTGTTTTTCTCCTGTGTTGTTTTTAGAAAGGGCTGAACTGCCGTTTAGCAGAAAGAGACACTTTCATCATAACCATTATCCAGAATGCCATGATGGAAGGTCGCATCCAGAAAACAACTTTTCAAGGAGATGCATCGGTGGAGAACCTGGATCCCGACACTGTCACCAAACTGCTTCATTACCTGGAGCTTTCCAGCCAGGTAAAACTGCCAAAACACCTTCTTTTTGCTGTTTTTGCTTCTGCAGCAATTTTACTTCCCTCTAGCTTAATGTAAGTTGTATTTTATTTGAAATATTTCAGGAGCAAACCTTCACCATGCTGATCATGAAGAAGAACCTCCAGGTCAGCGAACGTTTTCCTTATCCAGTCCGTGTTGAGGCAATTTTGGAGCTCATTGATCAGTTCCCAGTGAGGAAACTGGAGAAGATGACCAGAAAAGGATCAAACTTAAGGTTTTGTCAGTGGGCAACACTGGTTTAGTGAAAAACTTAAAACCTGTTGAAAGTGTTTTAAATCAGCCATAAAAATCTGTTTTACAAACAAACTGGTGCTATTTTAGCAAAGGTTAGCAAAGACGTTTTAACCTCACAACTCAAGAAAGTTTCTTTAGACCAGCTGCTGTAAAAAAGATGATCTCAAAGCTTCTTTTCTTTCATAAACTGTTAACATGTAATTAATTACATGATGAGCATTTTGCATGGTAGAAACACAAATAAAGATAAAAACTCCCTTAAGACAAAACTGCAAGAAGATTATTATATCCCCTAAAGAAAAGCTTTTAGAAATGTTATATATAATTATATATTACTGTAAAAATGTCCACAGGCTAATTAAAACTAAAATTAACTATATAGATAACAAAATAATAAAATTTGGGGACATTTGCATTGATACTATAGCACACAGATGACAGATGGTTATGTAATATGATTAATATAATTTTACTATCTAATTATTTTAACAGTTGAATGTGTCAAGATAATTTTAGTCAATATGATGGTATGAAGAGAACCTCTTTTTCCTCTTCAACATATATTTAATGATAAATGATGATAGCTTAAATTATTTTAAGGTGCGGTGCATCACAGGAATTATTCACTAATAAATTATTGAAATAATAAGCCTATGCTCAAACGATCAGACTTCTGAATATTAGTTTATAAAATAAGTCACTGACTAGCAATATATACATAAAGTGTAAACATCCTTCCATATCAACCAATAACATGGCATTGTTATTTTTAAAAATAATTTTCTTATTTCATTATATGCTTTTATAAAGTTCAGAAAAAAAATAATAAAATATTTATAATAATTTTGAAAGACACTGTAGTTTTGTGAATTTCTTATCAGTTTCTTACTGATATTGAATTATGAATAATGGCATGTTTATTTATTTGTAATAGTAATATATAAATAATAACTTCTTTGTTTTGTAATTAAAAATTATTTTGGCTACACTTCTTTAATTTTTTTAAGCAATCAAGAGGTTAGTCATCTGTAACAGTTCACCTCTTTTTTATATATATTTTTAACTATGATTTTGTTGTAGGTGTAAAACTACAAAAAAGAAGGTTGTAATGAAAAGAAAAAAGAAGATGAAGAAGATGGTGCTGAGTCCCCAGAGAGCGGGAGACGTGACTTCTGTCATGGCTTCACAAAGACAATTCTTGGACAAAAAGGCTGCACTGAGAAGTAAGATTCAGGATATACTCAATGGCAAGTCGAGGTTTGTGATTCGTAAGACGCCTGCTGGATCCACAAGAGGAAAGGCGTCAAACAGAGATGACTTGGAAACCTCCAAAGTGGCCAGTGGAGTCCAGTCTGTTCCACAAACTGATGAGAAAGTGGAAAAAGACAAGTAATGTTTGTTCAGTTTTCATGCTTTACTGAGAAATGAACATTGAGCACATGCCTTTGGTAGAGTTTTTCTCTTGTCTTTATAGGCCTCCTTCTTCCACTGATAAAGGAAAGGAAAGAAATGGAGGACAAAACACCAAAAACAAAGAAGAACCAAATATAAAGACAGAGACAGAGAAGAAACAGAGCACAAAGAAAAGGGGCAAAGGGAAGAAAGGAAAGAAAGGAAAGAAAGGAAAGGGAAGAGGGAAAAAATCCAGCAGAGAAGTGAGTGAAGAGGATAAAACAGCTCTGAGAATATTTTTGGACAGTATGCGAGGGCACAGAAGGCTGATGGTGAGAAACGTGCATTAGGACATTTCTGCCCTTTTATTTTAATCCTTTGCCAATAAATGTTTCTGTTTTTGGTCACCAGCTGATCTCAACACCCAGCAGGGACACAACTCTGTACATCCAGCAGAGTGAGGAGAACAACAAGCAGCACTGTGAACTCGCCATCAGGAAGATAAATGTGGTGACTATTGTGGGAGAAGGAAGTGACGCCACGATCTCTGTGCAGCACCAGCAGCTGGGTAGGACAAATATTTTGAACATTTGCTTTTAAATCATTTGGTTATAGTTCCTCAGCTGAGTTTAACTCAAGTTCTCTGACAATATTTTAAAAATGTGAAAAGCCCCTGCCAGCTGCCACTAATGACTTCAGTAAACAGGGATGTGTTAAATAATTTTTTAGAAAACCATGAAATGGAGAAAGCATGGTGTTTGTATAAGTCACTAACCAAGAGTGTCTTTACCATCTTTTATGGCGTCTTTAGCACAATATAGTGAACATTAACTTATGTTCACTATAAGTTAACTTATAGTGAACTTTGCATTCACTTTGCAGTGAATGCAAAGTAGGAACATTCACTGTTTGCTGGGAAAAACAATGCTCAATTTATCTAGCTAATATATGTATTTATTGAAAGACTTTTGTCAGAGCAGGAAATTCTAAATTTTCTGATATTCCAGATGGCACTGTTCAGCTAGGGGAACTCAGGTAAAGTTACGTATCAAATACATCCCGAATGGGTTAACATTGCTTATTTGCATGTGGATTCAAAGGACAGTGAATTCCCTGTGTTGTGCAGTGTATGAACTCATGGAAAATATGGCCAAACACCTCAGCCCTTCAGTGTTTACCAAGGAATTCCTCTTGATCATATCTTGAAAAGTGAATATTTAAAACAGAGTTTGGGAGATATCAGTAGTTTGTTCTATTTGTGGAAACATGCACACAAAAAAGCTTTTAATTCTCCCACAGTACTACCTCAGTACTTGGAAAAAGCAAGGCAGGTTTCATGGTTGGATGATGGGGAATGTGACAGAGGCACAAGCACCGTCACTCAGACACCCACAGTCCCTCCTGGGACACAAGGTCCTTCATTGTTTTACTTTGTACTAAAATACATTCATCTTTGAGACCATAAACCTATTTTCTTTGGCTTGGCAGTGAAATCTGGAAAATATTTAAAATCAAGCAGTGGCTTGATTTTAGTTGACTTACAAAGAACAAATCATATAAAAATATATGCAGTAGTCAAATATATATGGTTTATAGCACATGTTTAGTTTGAATCTTGTAAAATGGCAGCTACACTTCTGTTTACATATTTCAGAAAAACTCAACAGTATCATGATTCTGATCTGTGGAGAAGATTTTAATATGTTGTGTTGTATTTTGTGGATTTGGGACTTACTGTTTCAGTGTTTGGCTGTGCTATTTTGCCTTTTCAATGTGTGTTCCAGAGTCTGAGCGTTCTCTTAAGGATCAATCAGAGCAAGACTTGGACTCACGTCTGATCCCTCTGTTAAGAGCAGAGCTCGGCTTGTCCTCCTCCGACCTCTTCTCAATGACTGTCACGGATTACGACATCAAACCTAAGGTAGGAGAACGTCTCACTCAGCTTTGTGGCTTCCTATTTGGCAGCCATGTTTTCTTATTTTCACAAGTACCGGTATTAACATTGAGGTGTGTTGAGATAACTGTAACCATCAACATTTAGGGTGAGGGTAACATCAGGAATCTGCACAACAATGTTTGTATATATTTTTTTTATTTGTGTGAAAAAGTTTAAGCTATTTAAAGTCTAAAATATTTCAATCTGAGTTTTGGGATTTTGAATCATATCACATTAAGCAACATTAACATGAAATTCAGTGTTAATGAAATTCAAATTAACTCAAAAGGACTTTCTTGTTGTCCATTCTTTTTTCCTTCTTTAACTCACCCTCATCTTTGCTTCAGAGAGTCTTTGAGGCTCCTCCATCAAGCCCAGCTCTGTTCGACTATATTGACAACTTTCCCTCCAGGTACTCTGAGAAAGAGAAAGAAAGAAAAAGCCCTGCTGTTTGCTCCAAAGACATACAAGCACCTGAGGTTGAGAACTCACTGCTCAGGTAGTCATTCAGTCATGCAAAGGGTGCAGACTTTCTTAAAAAGTCTGCAGATGCAGTTTTAAATAGATTTCATAGATTTTGTTTAGCATTTATTTATTTATTTTGTGCAATCTAATTATGAAAAATTGACTTTAACTCTAGTTTAATATTTTTTGTTCTAAATATTAATAAATGGTATGAGTTGTACAGGTAGACAAGTGGATGTTATTGTTTAAATATAACATTTTTATTTCTGTACAGATTTATGTCTAAGCGGAGGCTGCTACTGATTTCTGCTCCCACAGAAGACAATTACTTTTTCCAGCAGCAGATTTCTGCTCTCAGTGGTCAAGAGTGTCAACTGGGTAATAAAATAAAAATATTTTGGTTGAGTTCAGCTTTCACTTTAAGTAATCAGCAGTTGTGATTTTACCTGTGTAAGGTGTAGAATGTTACTCCAAGTTAAATTAAGAAATGAAATTGGTCTATTTGTGGATTTCTTCACAGAGCACATTCAAAATATTTGAAATAAATTACAACTTATGATGTTGAAATTCCTAGTTTAGCTATAGGTCGGGTCCTTTTGGTTCCACAGAGTCCTGTGAACTTTACATTTCAGGTGGGATATTGTGAAAGGATAAAGCAATGTGTAACGCCGGACTTGTGGTTGCTGTAAATGTGCATCTACAATCTGAAGGCGACCTTCATAAAATGTATATACAAACAACAATACAGATTTTTTTACATACACAACTTGTGCATATCATGAGTTTCAACAATCTTCCTTTCATTTCGAAAGCTCTTGCAAGTCTTTGATATGAATGGATGGCAGCTGTTTGAAAAAAGAAAATGCTTTAAATATGAACCCTTAAAAAAACTATAAATGGATGGATGGATGGATGGATGGATGGATGGATGGATGGATGGATGGATGGATGGATGGATGGATGGATGGATGGATGGATGGATGGATGGATGGATGGATGGATGGATGGATGGATGGATGGAGGATGGATGGATGGATGGATGGATGGATGGATGGATGGATAATTAATCTCTTCAGTGCTAAATCTGAGATCTTTCTTCTCTTCACAGGTATCCGACACTTTGCTCTGTTGAAATTGACTGGAAACGGACAAAAAGCCTCTGGGACTGTTGAGCTATATCCTATAAATGGTAATAATTTCTAGTATTGTTGTAGCATAAACAATATCAAAAAAATTAACTGTACAAGGTGAAAAAGTTGTTGGTTCTTTGTTTCATTATCATTTTTGCCATTAAAGGCTTTCACTCCATTCTTTTTCCTCCAGGTCGCAGTCAGAGTGAGGTGGAGCCATTATCTCGTGAAGTGGTCAACAACCTGAGAGAACAGCTGAAAATCAGTAAGGACTACTTCAGCATGCTGGTTGTGGGGAAGGACAGCGATGTAAAGGCATGGTTCCCGTCACCCATGTGGTCCCTGGACAACATCTACGACCTGGTGGACTCTATGGAGCTTCGTATACAGGAAGCAAACCTCCAGATGAGCGTGGGGATCCAGTGTCCCGAGGACATAGGAAGAGGAGGCGGTGAAGCAGGACACTATCCTGGATATGATGACCACCGAGCTGAAGAAACATACTTATATCAGCAATCAGAGAACTAAAGAGATTTCATTGAACCTAGAGGATTCATGAAAAGCATTACATGTATTCCTAATAGATTATGATGGATAATGCTAATTGTTTGATGAATATATGAATATAAAAGACAAACTGATCCACAACATACGAAACAAACTTATTCAGGACTTTATGGTTACCCTATGGTTCTATCATGTCTAAGTGGACATGATAGAAAACATAGTAAAAAAATTCCAAAGTTACAAAATAAGTAAAAAGAACAACTTACAATCTCCACACTACAGGTAAATGTATTTTTTTTTTTTAAATTAATAAAAATTTGATACAAAAAAAGAAAAGGAGTGTTTTGTTGACAAAAGAAATGACGAACAGATGCTTGACCTCCATCTGTTATGTGAAACTGTTTTTGCTCTGATTTGACTTGCTGTTTGCAGCAGGGGAAAGAGGGTCCACTCAATGTGGAGGGGGGGGTTGTGATTTTTGGCAGCACTTCTGTTCAAGTTGCTTCAAACACATTCACTGTTTAAATTAAATGAAGAGAAGAGGCTCACGTTGAAGTGTTGCAATCCTAAGTTAGGCTTTGCTTGAAAATGTGTGGGTTTTTTTTTTTAAACAAATCTTACAAACAACCTTAGTCTCCAAAATGTGGAGTAATGGCAGCAACTCTTCCAACATTTCTTTGGAAATCCAGAGTTTGTTTTGATTTAAAGTATGAAAAAGGAGTTCAGTCAAAACTTGTCTAAGAGAAGAAAAACAAAGGCATCTCATCATCTTGTCTCACAGAAAAGATGATGAAGTAGCCACCTGGACCTCATAATAAACCTGTTGAAGTCTTTCCAGTTAGGATACCTCTGATAGTGATTTAAGAGAGAAACCTGGTGGATGAGGCCTCTTCTCAGTCTGGCAATAACTGGTGAAGGTCTGCTTAAAGTCGGTGCAAAGATGAGGGAAAAAACCTGTGGTAACCATCTGGACTGAAACTCCTCTGAGAGAGCAGAGAGCCTTATGAAGCCAGGCAGTGGGAAGCCTCTCTATGTGGAGTGTAACGTCGAATTGAGCTAAGGTTCACAAAAGGTGACTTCTCCTGCGCCAGGTTAGGAATGTTAATAAATGACAGCAATAAAAAATGGGTTCATCTGCAAATCTGGGTTGGATCTTCGCAGAGTCGTATACATTTTGTTCTGAAGGAAATCTTTGAGAGCTGTGCCAGATCAACAGTTCAAAAGCTTAATAAACAACCAGCCATCTTTTGGCATTAAGTTAATGCCTCAAAAACCACCAGATTATTAAGTCACAATTGACAGGCACTGTGCATTACCTAGCAAATTGATTGCAAGACTGTCACTTTGCAACCCAAGCAGAGCACAAAGTCAGCTAGTTTCACCACTGTATGTGCTGTACAATGGCTACTGGAAAAGACAGGAGTTGTGCCTGGAGGGAACTCTAAACCAACAGATGCCTTAAGGCCTGTAAAAAAGCTAACAATAACCAAGGAAGACAAAATATAACAAATGAAGAAGACCAGAATAAGTGGGAGCATCAACATGGGAAAACTACCTGAACAATGGAGTTAAACAAAAGCTATAAAGGAAAAACACAGATATTAATCTAATTAAATTAGAATATTACAGGAACAATGCAGTCAGTTAAGAGAGAAATTAAGATCCAGACAAAAAGGGGAGAAATTATGAAAGAAAAGGAAACTCTGCTCTAAACTGTAGGTGTAAATTAGACATTTAAAAAACATATACAATTAAAACCCTCAAAAAGTGAACCGTGAAAAAAATGCAGAACAAGAAGTAAGGAGGGTGAGCAAAAAAGAAAGCCACTCAGCTGCTCCAGCTAATTTTGCATCTTGTTACATTTCACCTTCTGCAGACCAGATAAATAGGAAGGCATGTCCTATTATGGAAAAAGACCCGAGGGGCAAGAAAAGAGCCACATGGCTTTTCGTCAAGATTCCGCACATAAGAATTCACTGCAATCTTTATTGAGCTAAAATTGGAGAATGCTAACATCTTGTGACAAACATCTGTTCTGACCAAAAAAAATAATAACTTAATGTTGAACTGAAGAAAATAAATATGTCCCACCAGAGTTAAAGTTTATGAGGAAGTGTGAAATGTAGCAAAGCCTTTTTTGAATAGATATTTTTTAGTTCATTATTTGTCAAACAACTCATTCATTGTTTTTCAAAGTATTTTTTAGGTTTTCTCAGCTAAACAAAATGCCATAGTAGAACATTTAAGTTAACAATCTATTTGTTATTATATTAATTTTATATAAGATATAATATTATTAATATATAATATTGCTACATTGCACAATTTCAACAGAATTTTGACAACACTGTGACCATGTCTGCCTGTTTTAATGTATTTCTGAGCTTATATTGAACTTTATCTTGAAAATAACATGTAATTGTTTCACATCCAGGAGTTTTCCCATGCTGTCAATGTTTCTCACCCTTCTAAATTTCTCACACATTGAGTTAATCATTAACTACAGTCTATTTTGGTCCTCACTTTAGTTTCTTACAAAACTGACATGTACATCTATAAGTTAAACATTTTGGAGTTTAAAAAAGAGAATCAACATTTAAAGCCCGAGTGTGGAAAAAAATGTGTAATTAATTTAATATTGAAGAGTGTTGGGTTTGTCTCAGTGTTGCTGTGAATTGTCTGAGCCATTATGTACGCCTCAGACAATAACAAAAAGTTTCTGAATTCAGACAAATTTCAGTTGATGACTGGCTTAATAAAAAGTCACACATATACAAAAACTTAACGAGTCACATAAAACGTAACCCCTTCTTTGAATCATATCATCTGGTCTCCATTGCTCAGAGAAGTGTGGTCTTTTTTTTTCTAATTAATTAATTAAAATACACTTTGGATAATGATTATTATTTCCTTATGTTAAAATTAGTTGAGAAGGAAAATCAAGTAGGAAAGAACTTTATGCAGATGAAATACCAGTGACATGTGTGTTTCCTGGTCGATATGAAAGAAAAAATAGTACTTATTTATTTATAGTTAATTACTTTTAAAGAAATGGGTTAATGAAGCCATTTTCAGGTTCCTGTACCAGATAGCTGTCCTACATTGCTAATGCTAGCTTTAATAAACAAGTGGTAGTTTGATTTCATTATAACCTTTACCCTAATTTTTAACATCTTTAGCAGTGCTTTGGCTCAACTTTTTTCTTGCATGTCTACTTTTGTTTTATTTATTTTTTGTTGGTGTCAAGTTGACAATTCACTGTTATGTTCACCTTGCTATCAGCAACCACAAGGAGGACATGTGCATTTAGTTTAATGGATTTTGTTGCAGTGGTTCACTGTGTATGACTGCGTCATTACAACTTGAAAGAGCTGAAACCACAACTTCACTTTAAAAAAAAATGCACTTTTTTGTCCACTAAAGATCGATTTGCTACTGGATTATTGAATCATTTTTGTAATATTTGATATGGTTGACAGGGATACAGTGTCCTAAATGAATTTTGTGTTTGATTTTACTGAACTCTATTTTTGTTTGGTTTGGTTATTTACCTAGCTTAGACTGAGTGGACATCAGTTACAAAGCACAGAGGAGATACTGCAGGGAGTTCGCCACAGGTAGGCAAATCCATGAGATCAAAACCCAAAGATAACAGTCTCTGCGACACTCACATTCTCACAAAGCACACACATACAACTTCGAGAGGAAGTTGTCAGTTGTAGACAAATGCTTATGTCACAACCAGACCTTGCGTCCACCCACTAAAAAAAAAAAAAACCCTCAGTGTCACACAGTTTGTTCCTCTGTGTTTGTTGCTCAGTGTCCCTTTGCACTTCGGTGCTTTTGTTTCTCTTCAACACCAACAAAACCTCGCCGAGGAACGCAGATCAAACTCTTTTGTCCATTGATTTCAACTGAGCTGAACTGCTTGGGACTGTTGTTGCAAAGATGGTGAGTAGGAGTTAATCTTTGACCAATCATACCTTTTCTCCTGACCCACCAAAGGGGCTTGGTATGTTTTGATAAGGGATAATTTTGGAAATAAGAGTTCATTAGTCAAAATTCAAATTAATCAGACATTACTTAATATTTTACCAGCACAGATATGACTGCAATGAAAAAGTTGTTACTTTAAAACAACATCCTTCCTTCAAAATAATGTGAACTATGGATTATCCCAGTTTATGTCAGTATTTGATACTTTTGTTCTCAGTTTGACCTAAATGTTGGTTTTCGGCTGTGTTAAATAAAAAATCCTGGGTCTTTTTGTGCTGTGCAGGTGATTCATAAAAATCTCAACAAATTAGTGCCCACCAGAGTTTCTGTTTAGTGATATCTGCAAAAACTTGAAAACTGTATCTTATATTCCAAAGTCTTCTAAGCTATGAGAAGTTATGAGGTTCTGCATGCCTCCTAAACTGTATTTTCTGTGTACAAACTATGTAGTTATACTTATTATGGCAGTTCCTGTATTAATGCAGCTCAGTGCAATACTCTCTTTCCACACCCAGCATATACTGGATTCCTTCCAAAATAAATAGTTTGAAAGATTTTTGCTGAACAGGAAGAAACACAGAGAGAGAAGGGAAAGACATGTTGCAAATAGCCCAGCGCTATGAATCGAACCAGGGACAACTGCATTGAAAACTGCAACCTCTTTATTTGATCCACCTGCTCTTCCACTTAGCCATGTGGTAGATTGGTCCTCAGATTTCCGCAGAAATTCCTTTCTTGTTTCTATTTTTAACAAACATGTTTCACAAAACTTTGTTTTCAAAAATGAGTTGTCCATTATGGATTAATCTAGTCCTTGTTTCACAAGGCAGATGTTTTCACACAGGTCTCAGCATTAGGTTGGCCTAAATGCCCCTAAAAAAGCTTTAAAGGGCAATCTTGAATCAACAGCTAACTGTGCTGTAAGGCAAACATTTCCAACAATCTTTCTTTCCCATTAAATGAACATTAGAAAAAGCCATAGTGAACATCGTAGAATGTAAATGACAGCTATCATTTTTTATCTCAAGAACTTGTGTTTCAGTACCTTGGGTAGTAATCAATTCCAATCTAAATTACACAGATATCTAACAAATCATATGATACAGCCAACATTATTTTAGTTACTAAAGTATAGTGGCAGGGGTTTTCAGTATGTCACAAAGCGCTCAGGTTTTTACAAAATTGCAACTGCAGTTTACACAGTTTAAGAGAAGTTACATGTGCAACGGTTTGGCACAGAATACATTAAGCAAGTTATAGATCTCTGTGGTGGAGAAGAGGAAGTTACAGAAGGAAACTTTTTTTTCATC